TATTGTGGTGATTCTACAGTTGCTATGGTAACACAACAACTACAGTAATCAATCTATTGTGGTGATTCTACAGTTGCTATGGTAACAACAATTACAGTGATCTGTTGTGGTGATTTTACAGTCGCTATGGTAACACAACAGCTACAGTAATTGATCTGTTGTGGTGATTCTACAGTTGCTATGGTAACAACAATTACAGTGATCTGTTGTGGTGATTCTACTGTTGCTATGGTAACACAAAAGCTACAATAATTGGTCTGTTGTGGTGATTCTACAGTTGCTATGGTAACTTAACAAATATAGTAATATATCGGTTGTGTTGATTGTACAGTTGCTATGATAATAACTATAGTAATATAAACAAATGACCCATACTGTACTATAGGACATATTACACTACAATACTCCACAGTTCACTATGGTAAACATTTAGTAGTAGTAGCTGGAGCATTGATTTACACAGCGTAGTAAATAATAGAACACATCAGATGTCCATGTGTGTTTTGTGGAGGACAGTATATATGCTGTATTGCCGTGAGTTCAGCAGTATAGTTTTCTCTTTAAATGCTAAAGCAGCGTGGAGTGAGAGCTGGATTATGGCCTTCACATAAATAAATCAATCAAAAGGAACAGAAATAAATATCTGAGGAGGCATAATCCGTGATTGTTTCCCGGAGCGGCCCACAGCTGTCCTGCAGACTAAATGAAAAAAAGCCGCAAGTGGCGACAGCAGTGGATTATGAGCTCATCATCTTCAGCGCAGCATCAGACGCTCCGCAGACGCTCGCTGGAGCCGCAGCTCATGCTCGGGGATGGGATGTAGCAGAGACGGCCATGGGTTCTGCCTGCTGCACGGCGGAGAGAGGTGTGTGTTTCTCCCACTCTCAATCCAGCACCACAGGCCTGCAAACACTCTCCTGCAGAGGTCGGTCCGCTCCGCTCCGCTTATGATGCTGCTACAATTGCTGGAGTTTTCCTCTCGTTTCGGTCCAAATACCTCAACATTCTGAAATCAAGAAACATTTTCTAGACCAGAACTGAGTAGTGTTGTTTTCAGAATAACGGCTGAGTTTTCTTTAAACTGAGCTCAGTAATCTGCAGTGGGGGAAGTCAAGTAATCCAGTTTCTCCTTTTCACATAAGATTACTCCGTTTACTCCATTGGCAGATTATTGAGCTTGTTTAAGGAAAAACTCTGTTTATTCACATTATTTTTGTGCTTGTCTAGAAAATGCTTCTTGATTTTAGTGTTTTTGTAGATATTTGGAGCAGAGACTAGATGAACACTGGAAGTTAGAGTGTGTTTTGCAGTGTCCAGCACTTTATTGTGTGTGCTCTGTGCTCCAGAATGCAGGTTGTGTGTTTTGTCATGTTGACTTTAACATTTCTCTTTTGCTGTCTTTGATTCTGCAAAGCTGATAATTATGGAAATCTGCATTTGTGTTGATGTTGCATTGGTCGCCTGCATTAGAGGAGGCAGCAGCAGTGCTGTGAAGAGTCTGTGTTACTGTCTTCCATCCTTTAATAGTAACTGATGAACATCTACTCTGTGCCCGTGTGCAGAGTGCTATTCTGCCAATGATTTGACACTGTTTTGCTTTGGTTCACATTTACTTCATGCACGAGAGAGCAGGCTGTGTGCAGGTTTTGTGTTTCGACTGGTTTGACTTTAATCTTTTTTATTCAGTTCTGTCTGTGTGCATCATGCGTAGATTCGCTGGGTCATTTGAGTCGTCAGCCATCTTTGATTGTGTAAAGCTGAAAATATGGAAGTGTGCATTTACGGTGCTGCTCTACAGGAATGTTTGATTTGTCGAATACTTTAGTGGAAATCAACAACACCAGCAGTGCTGTGAAGAGTTTCTGATTCAGTTGATGTTCATGTTCATGTTAGTTACTGCATTGTGTTCAATTCAATTCACCTTATTTGTACAGCGCTTTCACAATGTAGATTGGGTCAAAGCAGCTTCACATAAATAATCATAGTAAATTGGAACAGTGTAGTTCAGTTTTTAGTGTTTCAGTTCAGTTCAGCTCAGTTCGGTGTGGTTTAATAATCTCTATTGAGGGTCTAGACACTGAAGAGCAAATCAATGGATGCGCAGCTCTACAGAACCCAAACCATGCAAACCAGCGGCGACAGCGGAGAGGGCAAAACTTCACCAATTGGCGAAAGTGAAAAAAAAAACCTTATGATTATGCCATAGTAACTTCACAAAATCTACTCTGTCCCTTTGACTGCCCCTTTTCCAAACGGTTGACCATGATTTTACTGTTTTAAATAACAGCTCATGCACACAGCATTGTTGGCTCACAAAAATAAATCAAACAAATATAACCCTGTTGCTCTACTACACTGGAAAAAACAACGGGAAAACTTGTTGAATGAGAATCTGTAATATGTCCAGTAGTGGAGGCCAGCTAGTGAAGAGCTGTGCAGGTAAAGCTCACTCCTCTGACCTCTAAAGCTGCTCTAGCGACAGATGCTCGGGGCCATGGTCTTTAGCCTCCTTGATAGAGCAACCGACTCCCATGCGGAAGGTTGCTGGTTTGATTCCAGCTCGGAGCAGGTTGGGTGGTGTAGGACCGGCGGGGTTACATCATGCCAGACTTTTAAAAAATAAAGGTTAGGCTTAAGGTTTTCTTTTCAATTTTTTTTATAAATGTGGTCTTCAGCTTCATATTTTCAGATTTTTCATATGGATTAATTCCGGTATTTTACCAAAAACTGACACCTCAACCAATAGGCATGGGCCGGTGTAAGATTCTGATGGTATGATTTACTTACTTTATTTACTTATGAACTTTAGATGTAAATATGACAGTTTCACAGTATCACAGTATTGTGTTTGCTGATCTAAATATTTTCTTTTAAAAGTCTGGGTAAAAAACTAAAACCTTTTCCCCTGTAAACACACTATATTTTATCTTGAGCATCTTTGGATATTTCGTCTGCTGGAGATACTGTCGTCCTAAAAAAAATGTGTACGATTTGCTCATCCCCCAATGATGGTTGGGTTTGGGGTGGGGTCAGGTGCCACGCCTCCTTTTTAAAATCGTACAATTTCGTACAACTGAACTCGTAAGATTTTGTACGAATTAGCCACTAAACTGGCAAAACGTAAAATGCTCATGTTTCCTCGTGAGATCAGGCTGGATGTGCTGAAAAAATGCATTAGGGTTAAGAAATGCAACCCAAGCATGTTTATTTCTTGGTGGGCTAGTTAAAGGGCTGTGCATGCATGAAGGTCAAAGACAGAAGAGCAGCGCAGCTGTAAATCTAGTTTGAATGACTGTTCCTCACTTGTTTCTCAGATGTTTGAGCTGTGAGAGTTTGATCTGCAGTTTTCTGCTGCTTCAGTAATCTTCATCTGGCACTTTATCCTTGTTTACTGTGCTCCAGGACGCAGGGTGTGTGCAGGCTTTAAATGTTGACTTTCAGAACTTCTTCTGTTAAATTCAGTCTGTGTGCAGCATAGTTCTGCATGGTGGTCATTTCCATCTGTGTGCATGGTGTGTCATCAGCCATCTCTGATTCTGCACAGCTGTAAATCTGCATGTGTGGTGATGCTGTAGAATAATGCTGCATATGTCGACTACAGTAGTGCAAAGCAACAGTAATGTAGCTGATGTTAGTTACTGCATCGTGCAGTCTGTTACTCTGTGCAGGTGTGGATGTTGAAGACATGAAGCTTACATGAAGTTTTAATCTTTTAAATATGGTGGCTCAGTGGTGTCACACTGTGGCCTCACAGTAAGAAGGTCTCTGGTTTGAGCCTCAGCTGGGTCAGTTGGTGTTTCTGTGTGGAGTTTGCATGTTCTCCTCGTGTTGGTGTGGGTTTCCTCCGGGTGCTCCGGTTTCCCCCACAATCCAAACACATGCGCTATAGGGGAACTGATCAACTACACTGGCCGTAGTGTATGAGTGTGTGTGTGTGTGTGTGTATGGGTGTTTCCCAGTGATGAATTGCAGCTGGAAGGGCATCCACTGTGTAAAACATGCTGGAATAGTTGGTGGTTCATTCTGTGGCGACCCCTGATGAATAAAGGGACTAAGCTGAAGGAGGATGAATGAATGAATGAGTGTTTTAAATCCTTCATTTCTGTTATTGATTTGCAATAAAGTGTTAGTTTTGTAGATTCAGTGTCCAAAAATCTTGCAATATTCAGAAATATAAGCATATGTTGACCTACTGAAAGGCACAGTTTGACCGCACAACACCCAGGACTGATCATCTGAATTATTGCTCATGATTTGAAACACAATCCCAGATAACAGCAGCACTTATTCTCTGATATATTTGAGTAAGAGCGCTCTCTCACTTTTCTGTTTTGCTGGTGATGAGTGATGACATTTTGGAGCATTAGAGTAGTGTTAGAGTGTGTGTGTGTGTGTGTGTAATGTGAGAAATGTGTGTGTGTGTGTGTAATGTGCATAGACTGACAGAAGCATCAACACACACTGAAGCACACACACACCTGACCAGCGCTCACAACACACACACTGCTGATTTACAGCTGTCAATATGCTCTTACATATGCATCTGTAGCTCCGCCCTCTTCAGAAAAGAGCACAATCTCATTTGAATTTAAAGCGACAGTCACCAAAACACCACAATTAGGATCAAAGCCTGAAAGGGTCAGTTTCAGAGAGCTGGAGAACATTATCTGTGTGCTGTTCTCAACTCAAACACACACACACACACACACACACACACACACACACACACACACTAGAGACATAGAGACCCATTTACAGCTTGTACATGTGTGCAGAACAGCAGATCTGACAGTGTGTTCAGTGTGTGTTTAGTAGATGAATAGAGATGTTACATGTGTGTGTGTGTGTGTGTGTGTGTGTGTGTGTGTCTGTGTGTGTTTGTGTGTGTGATTGTGCTGGACAGATGGAGATGCTGCGGCCACTGCTGTGTGTGTGTGTGTGTGTGTGTGTGTGTGTGTGTGTGTGTGTTTCTGCTGTTCTTCAGTCTCTGTAAACTCGCACAGAGGATTTTCTGCAGATTTTCATTGATCCCACTCCTGATCCTGTGTTCTTGAGAAAACACTGATTGCTCCAAGCGTTACGTAACACACAGATTTCCCTCAAAATCCTGCGCTGTGTGTGTGTGTTCACCATGTGGAGGATAGAGCAGACAGTGGAGGCGTCAGAAACACACACACATCTGAAACACACTCCTCAAACACTGCAGTTGCAGTCAGAAGTATTCACCCCTCTGTTTAATTTTTGTCATCCACATCTTGCTTATGGTTGTGCAAATGTTAGTACTTTAAAACATCGGTGTCTGGCAAAAACTAGTTTACCATAGTTTACCATGAAAGTGTACAAAATACTGTAATTTACCATAAAGTTTAGACGTGTTTAACATTTTTACTGTATTGTAATGCTTGCATTTTGGCAACCACCGCTGTCATTTATTACTGTCAGTTTCACAGATGTTTTTAAATGTTTTTTTAAACAAGTCTCTGATCATTTATGATGCATGTTACAAAATAAAATATATATACAATAAAAAATATATAAAATTTTATATACATATAAAAATAATAATCAGTGTTGCGAGTCATTATTAGTTACAAAATAACTGTGATTCATTTTAAGTCATTTAATTACAATTACATACAAAACACTTGTACCAAACTATTCCACTCACTGGAAACCAGAGTTAAATCCTGAGGACATTTACTCTGTAGGGTGTTCTGTCACTTTAAGATTCTTGTGTGCGGTGGGTTTTCATTTCTCTTATTGTTGAGAACGTAGAGGTGCTGTGTGTGCTTCTGTTCAGCTTCAGTTCTACAGGTTTAGTCTGATTTCTGAAGATCAGTTTCTGTAGGTGTTGTGTTACCATAGCAACTGTAGAGTCACCACAACAGATCAGTCACTGTAGTTGTTGTGTTACCATAGCAACTGTAGAATCACCACAACAGATCAATTACTGTAGTTGTTGTGTTGTTACCATAGCGACTGTAGAATCACCACAACAGATCAATTACTGTAGTTGTTTTGTTGTTACCATAGCAACTGTAGAATCACAACAAATGAACTCCGGTACTTTGGTGTAGTATGGTTCAAAGACATCACAGTCTTTTGATGAAATACTAAAAATAAACTCAGTGAACATTAAATCTGTTTCTTACCCCAAAATGGATAAAAACACATTGAAAAGTTGTGAGATTTGTTTGCTTGTTTGTTTGTTTGTTTGTTTGTTTGCTTGTTTGTTTGTTTGTTTGTTTGTTTGTTTGTTTGTTTGGCCACAGTCCATCTCAGTTGTCTTTTATCCTTCAGAAGATGAGTTTGTTGTGAGCTGAATGTCAGCTCTTGTTTCAGTTTGTGTGTTAGTGTACTGCAGCTGTACTGTCGCTCTGCTCATGTTTGTTGTGTGTATGTTTGTCCTCTGCACTAGCATTAGTGAAGTACTGTGAAGATGAGAGAGCCGGAGCACACACTGCCAAAGAGTTCATAGCCAACCAGTTAATGTGCATTTGAGTTTTCTCATGTCATGTGTGAAAGTTGTTTTAATCCTTTTTATAAATGATGTCTTGGTGATTTTAGCAGATAAAAAATTATATATATATATATACACACACACACACACACACACACATGGCCATCCAGTCTTCTGAAACTAGTTTTAAAATACATTTTAGCATGCTGTAAACCTGACTCCAGATGATGGAGCTCATATTAAGCAGATGAGCACTGATCTGCCTATAGTGTGTGGAGAAAAATGACGCCTTCCAGCCTAATGCAACACAAGAGCTGGCTGCTGTCCATTCCACTTAATATAATATTACTGTTATTGAATATCAATTACTAAATGATAAATAAATGATCATGAAGACTGAAGTACTGTACACTCATCTGCAGGCAGTTATAATCTTGACTGAGCTGAATAGTAATGCAGACACATGCTCTGTCATCAGTTTAATAATCATTGTACAGGTTGAACATTACACCGGAGCTTTTCATTATGCTTCTCCTATTCTACAATATGAACAGCGTCTGTATAGATCATACTGTCAGTACTGCCATTTACAGTTTCATTCCTTCCATTACAGTACTGCATGCACTCATTTATTTTTGTTTTAATTATAATTGTCAGATTATTTTAATACTGTTTTTTCTAGTTTGCTTTATAATATTGTGTTCATTTGTTTATATCAATAATAATATGTTTGATTTATTATTTTAATCTTATTATTTTATACATTTTTAGGTTTTTGTTAACTTTTGTGTTGTTTTAACACCTTCAACTCTCCTGCAGGCCTGCACTGTATAATATACTGGATGGAGCATGGTGAACGCGGTGTTGTTGACATTACTTATAATCTGACATTAGGCTTTCTTTGTGTCCAAACACTGATGATGAAGACTATAAAGGGATTCATAACTAACATGATGAAGAACAGACATGTGAAACCGGAGGATTAAAACTAGAATATGAGCTGAAGGAACTGATTTAAAGGGGCAGTTCACCCCAAATTCAACATTTCCTCGTCATTTCTTCACTCTTGAGTGCTTCTCAACCTTTATGAGTTCCATCTGTTAAACACAAATGAAGATACTCAGCAGAATGCTGGAAAAGCAGACATTGAGCAGGAGTTAGAACATCTCTGTAGTCTTCAGAATATCTTTGTTTGTGGATGAGGAACTGACGACAGACTTTAGAGAAGCCTCCAGCTGCAGATGGGTGCAGATGCAAGCTGAGAGTGCCTGCAATGGTTCTAATGGCAACCCCTTAACCCCGCCCCTAACCCCGCCCATCACAGTGACATCACCAGCTGTATTGAGTGCATGTATGTGAGGTTGCATGTCTGAGTCTGCGTGTCTTGGCTGGATACTCCTGCATTTACAGTACAGGGGGAACTGTGCCTTTACTGACTGATGTGATTCCTTATGCTCATCATCTCTCTGTGTCTGTGTGTGTGTGTGTGTGTGTGTGTGTGTGTGTGTGTGTGTGTGTGTGTGTGTTTGTGTGTGTGTTTCTGTGTGTCAGTGGGTCTCTCAGACACCCCGTCAGCCTCCCGTGGTCGCCGGCCCCTGCCCCGCAGCGGTGTGTGTATGTCCCGGTCTCTACTGCGCTCCAGCAGTGACATCAATGTCCCGGAGCGCACCGTGAGCCCAGAGCTGCAGCAGATGCAGAGAGACGCGGGCGCACGCATGCGCATGATGATGATGACCAGCGGACGCAGCGGCAGGATGAAGAGCAACAGCAGATCACTGTCCGTCAGCCTGGAGGACGAGCACAGCAGCAGCACCACGCTCAAATGGTGCGACTCACACACACACGAACACACACACACACAGCAGTACTGTCAAATGGTGCGACTCACGAACACACACACACACACACACACACAGCAGTACTGTCAAATGGTGCGACTCACGAACACACACACACACACACACACACACACACACACACAGCAGTACTGTCAAATGATGTGACTCACACACACACACACACACACACACACAGCAGTACTGTCAAATGGTGCAACTCACTCAAACACACGCATGCAAGCACAACTACAGCGACACCATCAAATGGTGCGACTTACACATGCAAAGCAAGACTGTTAAATGGTGCGACTCACACACTCACACACACAACTCAGTATTGTCAAATGGTGCAACACACTCAAACACACACACACACACATGCAAGCAAGCACAACTACAGTGCAACCGTTAAATGGTGCGACTTACACATGCACAACAGCACTGTCAAATGATGCAACTCACTCACTGTGTAATTCTGTGTGGAGTTTGCATGTTCTCCCCGTGTTGGTGTGGGTTTCCTCCGGGTGCTCCGGTTTCCCCCACAGTCCAAACACATGCGCTATAGGGGAACTGATCAACTACACTGGCTGTAGTGTATGAGTGTGTGTGTATATGAGTGTGTATGGGTGTTTCCCAGTACTGGGTTGCAGCTAGAAGGGCATCCACTGTGTAAAACATAGGCTGGAATAGTTGGCGGTTCATTCATAAGCCAAAGCAAAATAAATGAATGAATGATTCTAGGGGTGTTTAATGAATAGATTATTAAGCTAATGAACAATTTCTGGAGATTATTTTCATTTTCCTCCGCCACACACACACACACACACACACACACACACACACACACACACACACACACACACACACACACACACACACACACAGACACACACACACACACACACACACACACACACACACACACACACACACACACACTATGTAGATATCAGAGAACAGAGAGCACACTCACTCATTTTGGCAGTAATGTTATACACGTGTATTTCTTTAATGTTCTCTACATCACACAAATCAACTTACTGTGACTGTGAGTGTGTGTTCATCATGCGGTGTGTGTGTGTGTGTGTGTGTTTGTTTGTGCAGTCCTAACGGGCGTGTGTGTGTGCCGAGCAGCAGGAGGAAGCTCTACAGCGCCACCTCTGGTCGTCATGTGCTGCTGGTGCGCTCCTGTCTGCCACACGCTGGAGGAGGAGAGAACAGCAGCCTGCACCGCAACGGCCGGGTCAGAGGTCAGACAACAACAACAGCATACAGTAATCCACAGCATCACTGCTGACACGACACTGCTCTGCCCGACAGAGGAGGAACAGCAAACAGTTAACCTTCCTGTTGATGAAGAGTGACCCAGGCAGCATTTTAACAGCAGACAAGCCCTAAACAATGCTCTGTCTTCAGGTCTGGTGACGTCTAAATGACCCCGACCCTTTCATGACGGCTGAACACGTTTAGGGAACAATTCAATTTCAGTCAGCAGCTGTAAAACCTCTGAATGCTGTCCTGCTAAACACTCTTACACTCCTGCAGCTGCTTTATCATGACACACACCCCCCCTCTCTTTACTGTAGTGAGAGTCGAGTGTTGTCTACTGAGTGAACACTGCTGTAATACTGCACACTGATGAGGGAACACACAAACATGCACAGTGATCAGCTTCTTTCCTCACGCTGAATAGATCAGAGGATGCGTTTTAAATTGATCTGCTTGAAACCTCCCCGTGTGTGTGTGTGTGTGTGTGTGTGTGTGTGTGTGTGTGTGTGTGTAGCACACTGAGTAAAGGATGAGTAGGTGATCATGTCTGGTGTGTAAGTGTTGTCTTGTGTGTTTTGTGCTGTCAGACAGCCGGGCGGAGCGCAGCGACAGGAAGAAGCTCTTCAGACACTTCACTGTGGGCTCCTACGACAGCATGGACAACTCCAGGTGAGACCACCACGCCCTACGCCATGTTAAGCTCAATATTATTGGCCCCTTCAGCAATATTAGTGTTGGATTGTCTCCAGAACAAACCACTGTTATACAATGACTTGCCTAATTACCCTAACTTTACCCTGATTACCCTAGTGAAGAGTGAAGTGGAGAGAACATTACTGTAACAGAGAGATCTGTCAGGGTCTATATGCAGTTTAAATCAGAATTATTAACCCCTGAATTATTCAACCTCGTTTATTTTCCCCTAATTTCTGTTTAACAGAGAGCAGATTTCTCAACACATTAATAATCATAACAGTGTTCATAACTCATGTCTAATAGCTGATGTGTTCCTCTTCATCATGATGACAGCACATCATATTAGACTAGATATTCTTCAAGACACTAGTGTTCAGCTTACAGTGACATGTAAAGGCTTCACTAGGGTAATTAGGGTAAAGTCAGGGTAATTAGGCAAGTCATTGTATAACAGTGGTTTGTTCTGGAGACAATCAACACTAATATTGCTGAAGAGGCCAGTAATATTGAGCTTAACACAATTTTAAGTGACTTTTATATCAGGCAAATTTAAAGAAACAAGACTTTCTCCAGAAGAATGAATATAATGAGACATACTGTGAACATTTCCTTGCTCTGTTAAACTTCACTTTTGACATATAATAAATAATGCACAGGAGGGTGAATAATTTTGACGTTAACTGTATACGTATGGCGGTGTCACAAGATGAACAGTTTACAGTAATGCTTCAGATCATCTGCTATCATCTGCATAGGTTGGTTTACATTTTAAAAGTGTTTCCGTTTTGCATTTCTTCAGCAATATTTAATATTGAGCCTGCATTAACTCATTTATTAAAGTGCTGTGTTTATATGTATTTCATATTTCTACACTCCTGATCAAACATGTATCAGTGAGCTGTGCATAACATGAGAGTTATGACCATATACTGTATGAATGCGTGAATATTTCCATGTGCTCAATAACTGACTGAACTAACAGTGATGATGTATACTGTTATACTGTTATCAGGACTATTCTAGCATGATATGAGATTGACATTTTGACCTGAAGATGTTTTAATATCATGACGTTTAATGGAGAATGCTTATTTAGCTGAACTGATTTGGAATCCTTGATCATTTTATTCTAATATTCAGTTATTGTACTGCCCATGCAGCGTCCCCTGATGTCTTCTATTGACAATTACATAATGAACGTGTTGGACATGTTATATAATGCAGCAGGAGATGCTGAGCTGATGCTGTTACAGTAATAGGACTGATATGAGGATTATTATAGGATTACTGATATGAGGAGGACTCCTGCGTTTCTATATACACAGCATTGTTGCACTGTGTCCTGTATCGTCTGCACAGTGTTCAGGCCTTCAGCTGCTCTCTCCAGTTCAGCAAACATGACTGAACAACAGCAGCAGCTCATCATTAATTCACCTCCCTTTAACCTGGAAATCTGACAGGAGTGATCCAGCGTTTACACAGAGAGGAGCCGTCATTCTCCTGCAATTATTGATTTCTGTGTGTTCATTTTACATTATAGACACAACCCACTCAGCACAACCATGCCAACCATACGTAAAACACCGCATTAGTGTCGTTATGAGGGAATAATTCACAGTACACAATACTCACAATACTACAGTGATTCTGTAGTGTACTAATGTAATAACACTGGATTATGATGCCCCCTATAGCTCAAGAACACTACAGCATTGACTCATGTGTTCAGTTGTGTTACCATAGCAACTGTAGAATCACCACAGTAGATCAATTACTGTAGTTGTCGTGTTACCATAGCAACTGTAGAATCACCACAACAGATCAATTACTGTAGCTGTCGTGTTACCATAGCAACTGTAGAATCACCACAACAGATCAATTACTGTAGCTGTCGTGTTACCATAGCAACTGTAGAGTCACCACAACAGATCAATTACTGTAGTTGTTGTGTTACCATAGCAACTGTAGAATCACCACAACAGATCAATTACTGTAGTTGTCGTGTTACCATAGCAACTGTAGAATCACCACAACAGATCAATTACTGTAGCTGTCGTGTTACCATAGCAACTGTAGAGTCACCACAACAGATCAATTACTGTAGTTGTTGTGTTACCATAGCAACTGTAGAATCACCACAACAGATCAATTACTGTAGGTGTTGTGTTACCATAGCAACTGTAGAATCACCACAACAGATCAATTACTGTAGTTGTTGTGTTACCATAGCAACTGTATTATCACCACAACAGATCAATTACTGTAGTTGTTGTGTTACCATAGCAACTGTAGAATCACCACAACAGATCAATTACTGTAGTTGTTGTGTTACCATAGCAACTGTAGAATCACCACAACAGATCAATTACTGTAGGTGTTGTGTTACCATAGCAACTGTAGAATCACCACAACAGATCAATTACTGTAGCTGTTGTGTTACCATAGCAACTGTATTATCACCACAACAGATCAATTACTGTAGTTGTTGTGTTACCATAGCAACTGTAGAATCACCACAACAGATCAATTACTGTAGTTGTTGTGTTACCATAGCAACTGTAGAATCACCACAGTAGATCAACTGAAGCACTTTACTCTGTTATTAATGCTATAGTATTATATGATTATTTTGATTGTGATTGTGCACTTCTGACCACATTTCTCATCAGAAGGTGAATGTTTACGCTGGATAAAAATGTTGTAAACGTTGTGAAGAGAGAGGAATATTTGTTGTTTAGTGTGGCAATACACCAGACTTTACTGTAGTAAACACTAGAGTAACTATATACTGCAGTATTTATTAGAGCTGACCAGTTCACTACAGTCAATACTACAGTGAGTTCAGAGTCTTCAATAGTTTAATGTACACAGAGTAGTAGACTTCACTACACCATGATCATAAACACTACAGTATTTACTCTACATCAGTGTAGTGTTACTGATGTGTGATGATGGTGAATCCGCGGGTGTATCTGGATGAAGGCAGCGCAGTCAGCGTGTCTGTAATGTTTACCGGAGGCAGAAGCAGACACTGAGCTCCACCTGCAGCCGGAAACACACACACACACACACCTGTAGATCACCTGTGCGCTGCTAACTGAACAGTCCCGCGTCTTCGAGCACAATAGGCGTTTCTGCACTGCTGCTTCGGCGACGCTCACGCCTCGCTCTGACGCGCTGCTGCTGCGTGCGGTATGAAAGCTCTAATCTGTTAACATGGACGCCGAAAACACACGCTCTGCTCACGCGCCGCTGACGCTTGCGGTGTGAAACAGGCGTAAAGCAACGCAGTATTTAAGCGCGTGACGCGGCGCGTTATGTAAAGGCGGATGAGCCGGAGAGAGCAGCGCGTGTGTTTCTGACGCGCGTCATTCAGCGAGCGATCAACACAGATCCATGCTGATGATCAGCGGCGGCGAGGATGAGGAGGGCGAGGATGAGGAAGGGTTTGAGTGACGCGCGTCATTTCCTCCACAGTGACTGCACGACGGAGCAGAAGACAGTGGTCCTACAGAAGCAGGACAGCGAGGGGTTCGGGTTCGTGCTGCGAGGAGCTAAAGGTGAGACTCATCTTCATCATCATCATCATCATCATCATCACTATATTCACCTTCTTCATTGTCATCATCACTGTAATCATCTTCATCATCCTCACCATCATCACTATATTCATCATCATCACCTTCATCATCATCATCATCATCACTATATTCATCATCATCTTCATCATCATCATCATCTTCATCATCATCTTCATCATAATCATCATCACTATATTCATCATCATCACCTTCATCATCATCATCATCACTTTATTCATCATCATCACCTTCATCATCATCATCTTCATCATCACTATATTCACCTTCTTCATTGTCATCATCACTGTAATCATAATCTTCATCATCATCACCTTCTTCATCTTCCTCATCATCATCACTGTACATCTTAACTCCTCTCCTAAACACTTCAGTGGTGTTGTTCAGATGTTCTCATATGTCCGCTTCAGCATGTGTATCAGGAGTGTGTGTGTGTGTGTGTGTGTGTGTGTGTGTGTGTGTGTGTGTGTTCCTCCTCCAGCTGCTGTGCTCTGAGTTTCACATTAGTCTGCTGTTATTTGCCAGTTTAGTTTAGTTCAGTGTGACGGCATTAAAGTGTTTCTATCAGAGAGATTGGAAATGAACTCCTCTATAAAGATGTTAACACTGCTGTGCTCAATAATATTAGCCCCCTTAACAATATTAGTGTTGGATTGTCTCCAGAACAAACCCCTGTTATACATTATGACTTGCCTAATTACCCTAACATAGCTATTAATGTGTGATGTGCTGTGATCAGGGGTCCAGTGGTCTCTCAGGCGTACAGTAGAGTACAGTACAGCAGTGACTCTGATTAATGTGAAGCGTCAGATGTCACGGCTGGTTATGTGCAGAGTCACAGCTCTGCTCAAGGGAAGAGCAGCTCACTGAAACACACACACACACACACACACACACACACACACACACACACACACACACACAGTGTTTTAAAGGGCACCTATTATCCACAACACTTTAATGCAGTGTGTGAGTATCTCCAGCAGCCTCTGATGCTTTCCCTTTGTACGCGTCATCAGAGGGGGAAAGCCCCGCCCATTATTCTTCATCTCATTAGCATGTCCAGCAGGCCTGAGTGAGAAGCAGCCGTCTGTCCATTAGCCATCAGAGTGTTTGAGCTGCTGAAGATGATGTCAGCATAGACTACTTGTGCTGAAACTGAAACACACACACACACTCTAGAGACAGCAGAGACACGCTTTACAGCTTGTTAAAGGGGCAGAATAAGTATCCTAGGTCTGTTTCTGTCCTCCATCATCATTATGAGAGTTAATGAAGCAGGTGTGTTGCTGATGATCAGTTGAACGTGTGTGTGTGTGTGTGTCCCACAGCTGACACCCCCATCGAGGAGTTCATCCCCACTGCTGCGTTCCCAGCGCTGCAGTATCTGGAGTCTGTGGATGAGGGTGGTGTGGCCTGGCTGATGGGGCTGCGCACCGGAGACTTCCTCACTGAGGTACGGGATAGTACACACACACACACACACACACACACACACAAAATGTCAAAAAACGTGTGCGCACATAGACAATCCATTTGCATCCTTTGCACAGTGGAAGAATGACTCTTCTCTCCCGCAGTCTCGTTTCTTTTGCTGTCTTCAGATTAGAAACTGTGTAAAGGAAAATATCTCACAATTTATAAACAAACCAGAAAGTCATATTATTCTGAATCTGCTGTCCTCAAACCCGAATACGAGACATCTGATATGAAGCTTTGTTGGTGTTTTTGAGGCTCCAGCTCTGGCCGTGGATTTAAATGATGAAGTGGCTGATGAGATCTGATAAGAAGCCCAGTCCAGAATAAAACGCTTCAATAAACTCGAGACATAAATTAACTCAATGGACAGTTATGCGTGGCCTTCATTTCTCTAAAACTAGATGAAGTCAAATCCTCCCTCTGTATGTCCTGAACGGGACAGATGTGGGACTCTTGTGTGCACATTAGTTTAGGTGTTGTGCTGTTCTTCATGAGTTCTGCTGCTCTATTCAATAGTTTTCCAGAGCTTATGGAACCAATATCCAGTTTGGGGGGCTAATGTCGATTATTTTGCATTATTTATTCTCTTCTTTTTACTGGTATTCTTCTGTTTTTGTTAAATGTGTTATAATAAAACAAAATATTACAAATATTACAAAAAAGTTCATCCATGTGTTCACGGTCCATGTATGAGTTATTGAGAATAAGTCGGTGGAGCAGATTGAGAAACAGGTCAGCATATGTTCACACGGCCTGCATCAAATATACATGCAGAGAGCAGAGCGCAGCGGGCTGAAGACGGAGCTCCAGCAGATGGAGCAGTGCTCATCATGACCCACTTCAGTTCAATGACTGCAGGTGAATCTCCTCATCATCAGTGCAGCACGCTTCACTACACCACTGAGAACCAGCACACTCAATCACTGCGCTTTAGATTAAACATGGGGCTCATGCCACAGTTCATTCTGATGGTAAACAGTGAGGTGTGTGTGTGTGTGTGTGTGTGGTGTGAAAATTAGTTCATGTGTATGCACATGTGTGTGTGTTTCTATCTAATTGTGTGTGCACATGTGTATGTGGGTTTGTGTGTGTGTGTGTATGTGTGTGTATGTGTGTGTGTGTGCGCGTGTGTGTGTGCTGCAGGTCAATCATCAGAGTGTGGTGAAGATGGGTCATCGGCAGGTGGTGAGCATGATCAAACATGGAGGAAACCGACTGGTCATTAAAGTGGTGAGAGTGAGCAGGAATCCGGACGACAAAGACGACAAAACACGGAAGAAAGGTAGGAGAATTCCCTGCAGAACTCAACCCTGCTGCTGCTGCAGTGATCATGCTGGTGTACACACAGACTTCAAATAAACAACAGTCGAGTGTGTGTTTGTGTTGTCGCAGCGCCTCCTCCACCCAAAAGAGCACCCACCACTGCCCTGACCATGAGATCCAAATCCATGACCTGTGAGCTAGAAGACCCGGGTGAGTTTTACCCTTACAGTACTGCGGTGAGCGCTGTGTTTACCAGCTCACGGTGGGGTCAGTGATCTGCAGCTGATGCTTATCTTCATGCCGCAGTGAATACCTGAATATATGAAGAGTCAGAACTGTCCTTAACGTCCTCGTAGTCACACACATCCAGTCTTTAATAGTTTAATAGCGTGTGTGTGTGTGTGATGAAGGCTGTTCATTCTCTTACATAAAACTTTGGTTCATCAGTTTCCGCTGCATCTGCTTTTGTTGACATTAATTCAACTTATTTAGAGAGTCTTGTTGAATAGTGGAGTTTTGGTAGATCTACATTACCCATGATGCCAATCAGACAATTCCACCAATCAGAGAGTTGCAGTGAGCAAAGTGCACAAAAAAATATTTAGCTCCGCCCACTTCATTGAAGCACCACCAATGACAGTCACACCATCATGAATATATAATTAACTAGTGTAATTTGCAGAATTAACCCTCGGCCACCACATTCATTGTTACTGGTTGTGTTGCAGATAAAGTGGAAGAGGCCGTTCCGCCACAGAAGATCATGCATGAAAAATCCTCAGCAGACAAAACTGTCTCAATCAGGTCCCGCCCCTCAAGCCGATTTTTGGCATCCATGGATTTTAATGTGAGTTTGCGTGAGAGCGGCAGTGTCAGACTGCAATTATGATGCATGATCATATGTAAAACGTTCTAATCGATGAATCTGATTGACAGCAGTCCGCATCTGAACGGCCAGGGGTCGCTGTAGTTCCTCCGAATGTTCCTGGGAGATCCCATGGAGGTTATATTCGTCTGCCAAAGAGCTCCATGAGAAGACAGAAGTCCGTCGGTAAACATTTGCTGAAATATTCCACTCGTCAGGGCTGCTCTGAGATCATTTTACCCACAGTCATCCACAGATTGATTTAGATAGTCTCTTCACAATGTGAAAACATGTAATAATCTCCATGAGCTTTCATGGTTGCACTTTATTCTCATAATCTACTTTAGGCATTGCTTACCCCAATCTGACGGTTAGGTTAGAAGAATGAGAAGGGTGACACTCATATAATATAATATTCATATATACTCACTCACTCTGAGTGCCGTTTATATTGAAGTTGATATTTAGCCGCACCATGTTGGAGTTTCGTAACATCTCATTTTAACAAGGTGGGTCATTATCCCAACACTCAACCCCCAACCTGGAGGACCAGGACACGCACTCGTACACTATAGACAATTTAGCTTACCTAATTCCCCTATAGTGCATGTCATTGGACTTGTGGCGTAAACATAATACAATATAATATAATATAATGAGTCTGATGAACACCCCTTCAAGTATGACCAGAAGGAATATGCTAGGAACATATTGACTTATAGTTCCAGAGTCACTTGCAGTATGTCTAAAGATTAAATAATGTGTTCCTGATTTCATTCTAAACATGTTGCTTAATTCTTTCCCAAGGAATCGCAGGAGAAGAGAAGAAGTTCCTGATACCTCCACTGCTCAAGTTCTCCAGAAGCCTCTCAATGCCGGACACATCTGAGGATATTCCTCCACCACCTGGCATCTCTCCTCCATCCCCACCGTACAAGCTCAGCACGTCTACAGCACAGGGATACGAGCCCAACCAGTCCATTTACACTCAGAACTCTGCCGCCAGATGCCACACCATAGAAAGAGACCAAGTCGGGTACCATCGGCAAAACTTTGAGCCGTACGACTGTCAGACTCATCCAGGCCTCAACAGGGCGCATGTGCCAGAGAATCCATACTCAGACAAACCCCTGTACGTCCCACCAAAACCAGCCCGTAGGAAGGGCATTCTGGTCAAGCAGCCAAACGTTGAGGATAGTCCCGAGAAGACTTGTTCAATATCAATACCAACCATTATTGTTAAAGAGCCTTCGACTAGCAGTAGTGGCAAAAGCAGCAGAGGAAGCAGCATGGAAATCGAGACTACTGGACCCGAGCCTCCAGGACAACTTCGGCCTGATGGGAGCGTTTCCAACCCTTTTGCAGCTGCTATTGCTGGGGCAGTGCGTGACCGCGAGAAGCGTCTGGAGGCAAGGAAAAACTCCCCTGCTTTTTTGTCAATGGATCTCGGAGATGAGGATCCGTTTATCCCTACTCCCCGCCTACGCCAGTCTATGTCCATTGATGAAGGCATGTTTGCCAACGATAAGAGTTTAGAAAACATCATGGCTCCACCGGCCTCTTTAATAGGGAGCTCGCAACTAAGAAATGAAGGAAACTTGACTGACTTTACCATCCCAGAACCAATGACTAAACCTCTGACAACACGCTCCAGGAAGTGTCCTGATATAGGTAGTCCCATCGGCATCGATGATGATTTCCAACAACAGGTTTCGAGGAAGACTCATGATATTTGTTCACCTCCAGCTCCGGGACAATCATCTGGAAATAAAGCTCTGAAGGAGCCAGTGCTACCGCCTCTTCCTCCACCTAAAGGAGAACCACACAAAGCAAACCTCAACCAACCACTCTTTATAGACACCAAGCTGCGGTCCAATATTGAAACCAACTTTGCCGCTACCACAGCAGTGGGTCAACCAAAAGATAGTGGGGGTTTATTTAGACATTCAAGAGAGTCTAGCCGGCAAACAGTGAAGGTCAGCAATCCATCTGAGCAGCTAAAGAACGCTCATAACACTTCACAGCAGAAGTCAGCAGGACTCCTCATGGTGCAGTCACTGAATAAGGCCAAGCCGCAGGGGAACAGTCTGTCTGATGGATTCCTGCTAGAAGAGTCCCCAGTTATGGATGGAGAACCCAGTGATTCCAAACTTCCAAACTCCCAAACAACTCCCATGGAGGAGCCTGGCAAGTTTTCCTCTGGGATTCCTCTTCCACTTCTGACCTCAGTGGATATCGATGAGGAGTTCGATGTAGCTGAACCCTTGCCTCCACCTCTGGAGTTTGCCAACAGCCTCGACATTCCTGAGGACCAGGTAGCTGTGATTCTCAAGCAGAAGAAGAATAATGAAACAAGGGCCGTGCATCATTCTCGTGCTTCAAATTGCATGACATCCCACGCCTACCCTCCACCACCTCCAGAGATGTTTGAGCCGGTCACAGACTCAGGCATTGAGGAAGCTGACAGCAGAAACAGCGCTGGAGATCCTCATTTTGAGGCCAACAGCACAATCTCCACCGTGTCCAGTATCTCTACGCTGTCATCAGAGGGAATCGAGGATGCGTGTATAACCTATGCAAATGGGCAGATTTTTCTGCTGGACCGACCCCCTGTTCCACCAAAGCCAAAATCTAAACCCATTATCAATAAAAGCAATGCTTTTTACAGGGACCCTTTGAAACAGGAGAGCATTGAGTCTATTGGAGAGCCTCCACCACTCCCACCTCCACCTCTGTGTGGTGTAGCTCAAACTGAGGCTCGTAAAACACTCGCGAAACACCCCCAGGAGCTGCCAAACCCACTCCTACCCAATGCAGATCCTAAAGCCAATGTAATCAATGAGCTCAGCTCCAAACTTCAGCACATGAACAAGGACAGATTTCCCAAACAGGGAGGATCTCTCGACCCACCTGCAGTCTCCAGAAGCATCGGATCAAGGTGAGCTGCACAGTAACAGCCTGTTCTGTTTTTGATTAAATGTTCCTGACAAAATAATAATCAATAATCAGATAATGATGACTTTGCATAGCCTATAATTATATTCAAGCTGTTGAATCAACAGTTGTAGACCAGCACAAGAAAGTTTTGTATTGTTAGTTGGGCATTTCTGTGGTAAAAAAGTATTTCCAAGTTTGACAATTAAAGTGATGCTTGTGCGGCTAACATGACTCCCGGAGGAAACCCCTTCTGTAGACTTCAGTTCCAGCTAACCCTGAACATCTTGAGTAGCTGGATCAAGTGTGTTTGATAAGGGTTGGACTTCAGTCCTTGGCTCTTAAAGATCAAGACAAATCTTACAGTCCTATCCTTTCTGCTTAAGAATAACTCCAGGATATTCCCAGCATACAGTCATTTATCTCTTTGGTCACGAACTGAGACGTCTATTTTGGTCGCATACTGCCCATATTACCTCATATATTGACAGAATAGTGATGTAGTACTGAACACTCAAGGAGCTTTGTAGAGTTCCCTGATGAACCCCAATGAGTCTTCATCCACTGACTGCTCTTTCTGCATGTGTGTTCCCTCAGAGAATGGATGGCTCAAGATACCAAACGCATCCACAAAGTGTCTTCCAGCCCCTTACCCCCTCAGGCGTCTCCTCCTGCTGGATCTGGACACTCTTCTCTGCCCGGCTCTGCTGCATCTCCAACATTGACGGATGTGTTCAGCCTGCCATCTCCACCCATGGGGAACGCAGAGCAGTGTTTCAGCATCAGCTCCGTCAGCAGCCAGTCTCTGTCCCCGCTCACGCTCTTTCAGGCCGCGGCCGACAAGCCGTTCGCTGATAAACCCATCCCGCTCTGGAGCAAACACGACGTGGCTGACTGGCTGGACACCCTCAACCTAGCCGAGCACAAGAAGGCCTTCCTTGAGAATGACATTGAGGGCTCGCACCTCCCCAACCTCCAAAAAGAAGACCTCGTAGATCTGGGGGTAACGCGTGTGGGCCACCGCATGAACATCGAGAAGGCTCTCAAACTGCTAATGGACAGATAAAGAGGAGATTCCACTGGGTTTGGACACTGCTTGATCAGTCTGTTGTTTTCTTCATCAGTCTCTGCTTCTGCTGTCGGCAGGTTGTGCGAAGATGTTCTCGGTTTAGTGGTCAGAACTGCACTCTGGAGCAAGTCTATAAAGGCTGGTTTATACTCCAGTATGCCTGGGTGTGCATGGTAAATGTGACATCATTGCAGTGTTGGTGCAAGTCCACTATGGGTGCAGATGCCGTCATGTTGAGTCTGGTTGTGCCCCCCCCCAAACAAAACAGGCTAATGTGAAGTCCTTTAGAAAAGAATAAAATGTAGTCTTACTTACTCCCAGCGCCGTTTATATAGAAGTTGATGTTTAGACACACCATGTTGGTGATCTAATTTTCACGAGGTGGGTTGTTAGCCCAACGATCAACCCCCAACCTGGAGGACCAGGACACACACTCATACACTACGGCCAGTGTAGTTGATCAGTTCCCCTATAGCGCATGTGTTTGGACTGTGGGGGAAACCGGAGCACCCGGAGGAAACCCACACCAACACGGGGAGAACATGCAAACTCCACACAGAAACACCAACTGACCCAGACGAGACTCAAACCAGAGACCTTCAGCTCCCCACCATGCCGCCATAAAATGCAGCCTAAGTTAGTAATTTCCCCAACTGTACTAAAAGCAAACCTTTTCATGAGTGTCCTCCAATATTATCCACAATCTATTAATTTCAAATAGAAGTAGGCTGCATTCCCATCCAGCTTTTCACTCGCTAACTTCCCTCAGTCTTGTTCCCTTGGATGTGCATCATTGATTATGTGTCCACTACTGGCGGAGCATCTGAATGGGTTTAAATGGAGTGCCCTAAGCCCCTGAGTACTTGGTAACTACACTGTTGTTATGTCACAATCGCATTACATTCTGAAGCTGACTCGCTCCCTTTGTCAAAATCGAGGGATCGAGGGTATGTCCATGTAAACGTCCCCCATGTGCTTGATGAAGTGGAACACATTTCAAAATCATGGCATGGATTCCCCCGAGGGAACAAGGGAAGGGAAGTTCACGAGTGTGTTTCTAAAAGTGTAACAGCCCTAAATCCATTCACTGAGTGTTTCGTCTTGACAGGTACTCAGAGGCGCCCCCTGCTGTTATCAAGTATGAAAGCCAGATCACTGCAGCCCAGGCGAGAGTATAAATCAGCCTTGAGGAGTTCATCTTAACATCTTGAAACTTGTGAAAACACCAGCCGCATCAGAGCGGGAGTCCTTTACTACCTGCGATACGGCGTATTTCCAGGCATATGTCATTTGACACGTCTGTAAGTGTTCTGTGTGTTCCTGCAGAGATGAGGAAGAGCAGCTGTCTCAGGAGGAGATGCTGGATTCACTCAGGCTTACACCAACATCTTATATTATCCTCACTGCAAAAACTAATGATGCAATATATGCAAATGCATCCCCTAATGAATACCCCTCACCTTTCCCGGCTCACTCATTTTATGATTTGAGGGTTGATTCACAACTGAGGGGTTCAGTGCATTCTCCCTGTAGGGGAGAAGCTGTTGGGTACTACACAGAAGGAGAGGTGCTATCGGGTGCTAAGCAGAAGGGGAGGAGCCATCAGGAGCTAAGCAGAAGGGGAGGAGTTATTGGGTACTAAACTGAAGGGGAGGAGCTATCGGGTGCTAAGCAGAAGGGGAGGAGCCATCAGGAGCTAAGCAGAAGGGGAGGAGTTATTGGGTACTAAACTGAAGGGGAGGAGCAATCGGGCACTATGTAGAAGGGGAGGAGCTATCAGGTACTAAACTGAAGGGGAGGAGCAATCGGGCACTATGTGGAAGGGGAGGAGCTATCAGGTACTAAACTGAAGGGGAGGAGCAATCGGGCACTATGTAGAAGGGGAGGAGCTATCAGGTACTAAACTGAAGGGGAGGAGCAATCGGGCACTATGTGGAAGGGGAGGAGCTATCAGGTACTAAACTGAAGGGGAGGAGCAATCGGGCACTATGTAGAAGGGGAGGAGCTGTCAGGTAAAAAACAGGTTGAATTTCAGGTTCTGGTTCAGACATCAGTGGTTCATTTGAGGAGATTAAATTCCTACACACCTCAGCTGCGGGCATTAGCAGTGTATCGTGTGTTATTTGCATTGCAGCTATTTACACTTATTTATGAAAGGTCAGAGAAATGGACCATGGTCATGGACAGTGCAGATTACCGCTCGTGTCATTTTCAGATGTGTTTCAGATGTTTGCTGACACACTGCTGCTACTGTGAAGAAGAAGAAGAGCGTTTATAACCGTCGCAGATCATCTTTACACTAGAATAAGAGTATTCTGACTATAGAGCTGTACTGCCTTCTATATCACTACTATAATGGAGGAACTGCTCCACCAGTGTGGACTTGCCAAACTCAACTAAAAGAGTTATATTTGATAGATCATCATCATCATCATCATCGCACTCCAGACAGCAATATATTTATACTGTGATGATGTCTATATCTAGACTATATCTGTACTGCAGCACTATAATGGAGTCTGTAGGATCTTCAGTCCCTGTGTGCGCGCGCGTGTGTGTGTGTGTGTGTGTGTGTGTGTGTGTAGCGTCTCTGTGTAGCTGATGTGGATGATGTCTGTAACGCATCACAAGTGAAGAAATAAAAGCTGCTCCTCTCTGTGTGTGTGTTTGTGTGTGTGTGTGTGTGTGTCAGTGATCTCACAAACACACACAGTTTTGGTCCATCTTTTATTCTTAAATGATATTTGTTATAAAACAGGCGTGTAGAGAGCGCTCGCAGCACAGATACAGCACACACACTCAACTAAAAGTGCCAAACACAGATGAAGATTAGCATTAGCAAAGCCGTTACACACACACACACACACACACACACACACACTTCATCAACTCCACCGCTCCTGTGTGGATTGTCATTGGATATACTTGAGCAACACACACACACAGACACAGAAATCATGCACTCACAGAAGAACACACACACACACGCGATTAACGAGACATGAACACACACACACACACACACACACACACACACACACACACACACACACACACACCCTTCAGCAGGCCGCTCTGAGCGCTGCACGTTTTGGCCTTCATTTACTGTGTTTGAGATCAAACATCACTGATACACTCCTGATGAAGCTGCAGATGGAGGAGGAGGAAGATCTGCTGTGTGTGCCACTCTCTCACACACACACTCACACATACACAATGTATGCACACACTCACATATGATTTCAGGCACACATACATACTTCAGCACATTGAGTGCGTGCACACACACACACTCACATATGATAGCATACTCACATACTCAAGCATGCACACACATACTAGAGCATCAGCGCACACACATACTTGAGCGCGCACACACACACACACACACTCGAGCAGACGCATACACACTTGAGCGCACACACACACACACACACATACATACTCGAGCATACACACATACTTGAGCGCACACACATACACACACACTTAAGCAAACACATACTTGAGCACACGCGCACACACATG